AATGTGGAGATGATCATACAGTGACCTAAGTCGATTAAATAATTGCGGAAAGTCCGAGATGAATGATTTCCTGACAAAATGAGGCAGAAAGAGCATTGAGCGTTTGGAGGCTGATTAATCCATTAGGAATGTGTTCAGTATTCGACTCCAACAAGCATCGTAGAGTTGATTGAACGCATACTTTGTATAATGATTCGTTACATATAGCACAGCAGTTAGAGCTGCTCCATGATATATACGTGATCGCTGGTTCGATCCCCCAGCGCGGATTCAGGAAGCCTTCGAAACCTCCTGGGTCGGTAAATTGGTAATAGACCTGTCTAAGGGGATAGCAGCACTGGCTCGGTACATCGGTGGGCCACGATGATTCATTGTAAGACCAGATATGTATTCTGTCACTTCTAGCGATGTTTAATGAAGTCGAATGTACGGCGCATCTTTAAGGGATTGATCAACGCCGAGAGATTTATCCTTTTTTTATATTTACTTCAGTAGGGGACGGGTAACACAGTGGTGGTGATGACAGTCATTATGAGTGCGGTGCTGGTTCGATTCCTCTCCGGACTCACCAGGCCTATCATCTCTTCAGGATCAGGAAATTGGAACCTGACTTGTCTGGGAAAAATTACTCTCCGGAATCCAACTGGGAACGCTCTACTTCTGCTATCTCAGGACTCCAGTGGGAATCGTCTTGATCAGCATTCCACGACATTTAAAGCGAAATTAAGATCCTCAAGCAGCAGCCGAAGCCACACGTGGAAGTTGGAAGATCACTGTGGATGATGGATGCGATGAAAGGAATGGAATGTGAGAAGTGCTCGGGATCCGCACAGTAGATATGAAATAAAGGTTGTATAAAATAAATAAAAAAGAATAAATTCACTCAAGTAATGAAGTGGTGGAGTATTATATCTGTAAACGTGGTTGCGTGTTCTACATAAAACATATGCTGTCTCAAATTTACAATATAAACTATTAAAAGTTGTTGAGAAACCGAGGTACACTAATCTGATCGAAGGATCCTAGTAGGAATACCACGTTTTGCTTGCCAAATTATACTTACTTACTTGGTACTTGAACGGCCCGTCCTCAATAGTTGTACGGGCCCCAGCATAATCACCATTTTTTGGAGATTTCCTGGCTAAGCCATTGCAGTTACCTGAAATCCCGAGGTGAGCCTGGCCAAAACCTGCCCCGGGTCTTCACCACCACAGGCAGTCGCAGCCCTTGTGGATCAGGGAAAGATTTGCCACCATGCGACTAATTTGATATCAGGACAGTGGTGCATTTTGGTATTGGTTTACTCTTAGCTAGGCTTCGTGATGGAAACGGTGGGCTCCTTCTCAGCTTGGGAGACTCTGCCGGGGAACGAATCCCCCGCTGTACATCGCAGTCCAACACTCAGGAACACCTCCCAGCCACGATGAGGCGGTAAACCGTTGGGAGGTTTGCCATATTATCCTTAATTCAAATAAATGCAAAAACGGAAACAAATCCTGGCAATAAAAAGTGGATGTTATTTTCTTGGATGTTATTTTCTTTCTTTATTTACGAACAAGCCGACGCTTCGGCGGATTTCGCTTTCTGCAGAGCCTGGAGGTGTTTGCTGGATAGATTGCGGCCAGTTTGAGCTTTCTAGGCTTCGAGGAAGGCGAAACCCGCCGAAACGCCAGCTTGTCATAAATAAGGAAATGAGGTAACACCTCGTGTCTGCTCAACAAGAATATAAAGAATTGTTCGATCAATGCCGAAGTTAATCAAAAGCCAGTCATGGGAATAATAATTAGAGCCTAATCAATTTATGGACTACTTTTTCACATACTTAATACCGAACACTTGCAAATCCTTCGAAAGAATTGGATGATCTACTATTTAAACTTCTATAACACAAGCACACACATACACGTACACATACACATACACACACAGACAACGGACACTGGTAGTATAATGGTAGCGGTCTAGTTCGACCCCGCAAAGAATCGACCACTTGTTTCCTGAATTGGAAAATCGGTATCACATCTATCTAGGATCAACTCGTTCCCTCTAAATCATAAGCCCTGGCGACTGCTTGTGATGAAGATCTGAAAGCGTCCTAGCAGAGTTATTTCAGGTTTTTAAGTAGAACTAACTCCACTACCACACAGTGACATTCACAAACAAGAGCAGAAATCCTCGCGCAGCTGCTGGAGCTACACGCAAAAATCCGAAGACACTGTTGCATAATGGATACGAAGAAACTAATCGAATATAAGAAGTGCTGGAATCCACACGTGTTGTGTAAGGCTATGCAAAATAATTTTTCAGAGTTCAGCCTACGTAGTACGGAGAAACAACGTCTCTTCTTTGATTCTGATGAATGTTGAACTTAAAAAAAGCTCCTGTCGTTGATCAATCCCTTAAGGATAAGCCATGCATTCGACTTAATTAAGTATCGTTTGGAGGTGATTGAATGCATATCTGGCATTTACAATGAATCGCGGTGGGCTACCGTTGTATCGAGCCAGTACTGCTATCCAGCCAGACAAGTCTGGCACCAATTTCCCGACCCCGGAGGGATGGAAGGGTTGGTGTGCTAGGAGAGCGCGAATCGATCCTATATGTGTATTGTAGGGCGTCTCCGACCACTGCGCCATACGCGCCCCCAACGCTGAACTTACCCTGTAAATTTTGCACACTGAAGAGAAGATCTTCCAGTCCTGTAGAACGTCTTCGTTCTATACATCCACTTTTTCTTAACGATATCCATTAAGTGTGTCTGTCGTCACAGTTGCTGCAAAGCAGTTCTCCTTAGAAGTGTATCATATTTCTGACAAAAAGGTGACGCTGTGAAACCAATGTGTGTGCACCGACCACAATCTCTAACCACCAACATACGCGTTGCACTCAATGCACACAGTTTCAAATATGTTAGCGTCATTTCTTTGACATCGAGAAATCTAACACATTGACTTTGAAAGACTTTTAGGTATTGCCTTCTCGTTTAGCCGTATTTTGAAACCCAGCTTTATGTTGATTTTCTAAACTAAGCAGACACTCTTCCAGTAGCTAGCCGGTTCATTGTTGTTGGGAGATGTTTACGAACATCGAAGAACAACAAGAAGAAATGTACAATGGATAAAATTATTTCAAAAACCGACTTTCCTTTAACCTCGGTGGGAGTGATCAACATGTATTCTTTCATTGATAAGCTGATACGAGGTTGATACCTAGATATTTGGATGGCTCTTCTTCACTGGTTGTGTGGGCCCCAGCATAATTTCCATTCTTCAGAGACTTGTTGGTTTAGCCATTGTGGTTCTCTGGGGTCATGAGGCTAGCCTGGCCGAAGTTTGCCCCAAGTCGTCACAACCACAGGCAAACGCCGCCCCTGTGGATTGGATCAGATGGGGATTTGCCACCATGCGATTAATTTGATACCAGGACAGTGGTGGATCCAGGTATTGGTTCACTCTTAGCTGGGCTTCCTGGTGAACGTCGGACTCGTTCTCAACTTGGGAGACCTTGCCCAAGGACGAATCCACCACTGTACATCGCGGCTCGACACCGAGGAACACCTCCAAGCCACGATGAGGCGGTAAACCGTTGGTAGGACACGAGGTTGATTGGAAATTTTATTCAGATAATGTTTCGACGTCTTTATGCTCCTCAAAACCGATGATCGAGATCGATTTCCACAGTCGTTCGTGCTGTCGATGTGGTGTCTTCGTCATAGCATCGAGTCGGATCTTCCGGTAAAACAAGTTGTCGTCACCCCTTCTGTATACAAGAGCATCGTCAGATGAAGTTGCCTCATTCGAACGGTGCTACAGTGAAGAAGATCTCACTCGATGCGACGCCGGAGACATCACATCTAGTGTACGGACGACTACGGACATCGACTCGGATCATCGACTCGAGGAAGAGGAAGACGTCGAAACGCTACCCGAATAAAATTGTTTGCCAACTTTGTGTTAACTTATCAATGAAGGAATACATATGTACAGTGGGACTAATCCCTCCAATAGAGCCACCTAAGAGGTTGTTGAGCAAGAGTGAAAAATCCACTTGGAAGTTCAGTTAAAAGTAAACCTATGATAAGTCCAACTATGTTTCGATAGCTAACTTCTCGCCAAAAGCACTAAAAGTAATGGGCTTCATGTTTAAAGTGCAGGTAGTATTTTCCATGGACTCAGTGACCATTGATACATTCCCTAGCTTAGCAAACACTTGAAATAGAAAGCTAACAGGAAGTGCAACTGAGTTTCATGTTAGTGCGGAAAAACTGGGGAAGTATGGTTCACTGGGGCGAAATATGGGTTTTGACTTTACAGTGAAGTCCATGCTTCTGAAGATCAAGAAAGACGAAGAATGAAATGAATGGAAAATGAAGAAAACATGGAAGTGAACGAACAAATGAACATAGATGAAATCTATACAACATGCTTATGTAAGTTATTCAAAGATCTTCACCTACAATTAATCACCTCGTTAAGTATAGCTGTTAACTACGGTATACCATATTCTTTCGAACCTACTGTCTCGACTCGTATCGAAAACTCTTATCCTTATAGCCTCTCTTATTGGTAGAAAGTCGCCAGAAATTCTAATTTGCCTGCTAGAGCTAACCAACTTCTTATACAAAGAATAAATTATCACTAGTCATTAAGACATAAACTTGCATAAGTGAAGAATCCACCATCTCTTAAAAGACCATGACCAGCAGCTGGACAAGGACTTTACGTTTCAATTCAAGCTTTGTCATGAATTTTACCTTCACAAACCAATTTTTTCATGTGGACAATAAATAGAAATAAACAGAAAGGCGGTACATAAGATACCAACAGAAGATTTCACATATGTGAAGGTACCATTTATTTCGTGAAAAACGCTTCCACACTATAAATATACTAAATAATACCAACAAAAGAACGGAAAGATTCCTATCAATGGAAAGAAATACGACCGGTCCAAATGCAAGGCTTTGCATCCGAAAGCGTATATGTTTTCAGCACACACCATCATCTACGATAAATCAAATCATAATGACCTGGTCTATAGAGAAGTGTTATGCGAGGGACTTCTCTTTGATCGGGTGGAAAGTCATAATACAGGCCACCATTCGGGGCAGCATTCTGATCCATGTACTGCACACGAATACTCTGTCCTGAAATAATTGTCTACAATATGATAACATTAAGGGCAAAAGACGATGAACTGTCTCAGCATTACAATGATGCTGAGATATTAGCAAAATTTCGCACGGCAGGTGACTGCGGTGGGAATCGAACATGCATTACCCTTTCCGGGGCTAACGCGCTCACCACCACGCCCATGCGCGTCCTTCGTTTCGTCTTTCTTTCAGCTAGTTTTCTACCTACCAGCTTAAACTTAACTGTGTTCAATGCTGATTTGGGTTCCCTAGATCAATCCCATTGAAGGGTGATGGCACTAGTAGACAGAAAACTAGCTGGGGGAAAGGCGAAGGGAAGGACGCGCATAGTGTGGTTGTGAACGCGTTGGTCCCGGAAAGGATAATTGCGCGTTCGTTTCCCATCGCAGACACCTGCAGTCCATAGTTTTGCAAATATCTCAGCAACATTGTGGTTGATTTCGCACAATACCTTGCCTTGAAAATTGTAGTAGGCAGTAAACAAAAAAGTTAACATTGTTCCGATATCCTTTTTAAGAAAACTTGAGTACTGAAACTACACACCTATGGCGTTGACAAGACCAGTAACTGCCAGATGATCAGCATCCTTCCACATCGATTCTATTTCACTAGCGCAATAATCGGAAAGACTAATATCCTCAATAAACGGAGCATATTCTTCCGAATGTTCTTTCAAATATCCTGCTGTTATCAACCTAAAACAGTGACTAGTGCATTAAAACAGTAAAATATCAAAGGCTGAGCCAAATACTCATGGGTTTCCTAAGGATCACCGTCGTCAATCATCGTAAGGATAAACAACTAAATACGCTAGATATAAAGGTATCCTGAGGTAGTGAATGTGGGTAAGGTGGTACAATAACTATTAGGACCTGTCGATGTAAAGTCAGCCTTTCTTTGTCTTATGTGAGTTTTCTACCTAAGCCAACACAATAGAGTATAAAACTGGTCAAACAGAGCTCGTCAACAAGACTAGTATGTGATTAGAAGATCTTAAACTGGACAATCCGCCAAGCAAAACGGTCCTTAGCCCAATAGGACATTATCTTTAACTTTAAAGAGTCAAAAAAAGTTATATTGCGAAACCCTCCACAAGGGTTTACATCCCCATCATGGCTTGGAGCTATACCTGGGTATCGGATTGCGATGTACAGCGGAGAGTTCACCTTTCCGGCATGGCCTCTCAAGCTGAACACGACTCCGACGCTTTCTTCCGACAGCACAGCTAAGAGAAAACCAAAAACACCTCTAGTTATAAAGAGATTCCCACCGCAATACACCATAACCGCAGCCACCTGAGCACAATATAAATAACATTGCCACATATTTGCGCCCTTATTTCCGTTGTAGTGTTAGAAGGCGATTCCACCTTCAAACAACACCTTGGACTCAATTTTAACTTATTATTTGCTGCCTACTCCTTTTTAATGGCAGGGTATATTGTGAAATATAACTTCGATGATGCTGAAATATAACTACAGTCCCAGCTTAACTGGGTTCGTTGCCGATTTGGGCCCCCCAGATCAATCCCGCTAACGGGTGATTGCTGATGGCAAAATATCGATAGAATTAGCTGAGAGACAGGCGAAACGAGGAACCCGCATGGTGTGGTGGTGAACGCGTTACTTCCCGGAAAGGACAATAGCGCGTTCATTCCCTACCCCATACACCTACGGTCTGGAATTTTTCAAATATCTCAGCATCATTGACGTTATATTTCGCAATACACCTTGGACTCAGTATATACTTTCCAGGTTTGACTATTTTGCGTTTCCTATCGACAAGCTCAATTAAAGGTACAAGTTCAATACTCTGTAACATTTGCCATCAGGATTGGAACACCAAAGAGCTCTCCTCTATGGCTGTTTAATAATTCTCATCTAGTGCGAGGGATAAATGAATTTTCTCATTTCGTCAACACTTGTCGAACCGTTCTATTATTAACAAACTAGTCGCTTCGTGGCCAAATTCCACCTGAACCACAAGGGTGCGACTGCTTAGGATGACGACGACCTGAGGAAGGCTTGATGTAGACTGACCTCAAGACTACAGGGAACTACCACAGCTAAACCATCAAAGCTCCAACCTCAGTACTCCGCACAGTAGACGCTCCCATCCACGACGTATGGCAGTGAGACAACGAGTTAAAAGCGATCAAATCTAGGGTTGCACAAGTTATCACCGGAAACAGAGAAAACGAACAAGCCTTAGACACAGTATGGAGAATGCTTTTCGCTCTGTACATGTAACACCAGAACAATTTCTTCAGAAACCGACCTTTACGCTCTCCTTGAGACCGCTGGCAGCATCATATTCCATGTGATTGTCTTAGAAGAGAAGAAAAGCAGGAAGCTGACACATACCAATTAGAGGACGGAAGCCATGACATCCGTGAGTATGAAATTTCCCTTACAAAACGTGTAAGGTGCTGGCTTTATCATACACCCACTTATTTCCCATCGAGTCACCTCATATCAACTCCTATCACTGCTTCTGACCATTCTACTTCTTCAACTTCCATCTCAAAAAAGTTGTTATCACCAACTGTTGCTCACCGGCTTGTCCAGCTTATGAGAGCTAACTGGATGTATTCTACAAGTAGTCGGATGAACTAATCCACAACGAAAAATCTTTCTATAAATTCGCTGTTCGAGACTTTAAAGCCTAAGTGGAACGAAAAAGGAAAATTAAGACAGGATAGCGAAATTCAGAAGAGTGAAACGAAATGAGAATGAAAGCGACTCGTAGAACTTCTGTCCACAGTACATCTGTTCCAAAAGAATTACTTCTTCGAGAATAAAGAAACTCGCCGATAGACTAGAGAATTTCCTCACATGATGGATATCGTCCATACTCTCGAGAACAAAATACAGTGCCTCCTTGACACCTCAGTGATCGCTCATTCTGTACGGAATCTGGGGATCTGAACACTGCCTCTTCCATGCGAAGAATCGATTTAGCCGTAATATAAAAAAGAACTCCTATCATCACCTATCAGAACTCCTATCATTTTTAAAAACAGAACAAATTGTGTATTATGAGAATACTCTCAATAAATTCCTTTCCTCTACGACTAGTAGATAGAGGAAGATCCAATCGAGGACTCTAAGCTCCTTGTCGAAGGACTTAAAACTTGTACCGAACTCGACATTGTTCCTCAAACAAGAAGTTCAAACAGAGTCTCAATTTATTCTTTCTTTGATAAACTTACACGAGGTTGATAAACAATTCTTAACGGCCAACGTTTCAACGTCTTCGTCTTTATCAGAGCCGATAGTCCACGGTTGGTCTTCGTCTCATTGTGGCGTCTTCGCACTCGTGTCGAGTCGGGTCTTCCTCAGCGAGCTATCTCCTCGAATGAGGCATCCACACTCGGTGAGGCCCTTCTATATAGGGTGCTGATAGTTGATAGTAGTGATTGCCCCGTAATAACCGAGATGAAGGACCGTGGACTACCGACTCGATTTCCTTAGCGCTAGACGACACCAATTACATGAAGTTCTGGCAAACCAAAAGATATCTAACTTTTAGGAAGGGCAAATCCAAGACCAGAGAAGGAACTCGTGCACGGTCATCCTCCCCAAGAAGAACTACTACGGGGATAATTCTGAGTATCATGTGTGATAGGATTGAGTGTAGTCTACAAGCTGGTAACGAAGACTATACCTTTGCGCTTATCGAAGATCTTGGATGAGGTGTATCCAGTTGAGCAAGCACCATTCCAGCAGTGATTCTGCTGCTTAGACCACATCCAAACTATACCACGTGTCATGTACGTCTTTGGAGAGTACCACTTGCCTCTTCTCTTAACCTTTACCGATTACGAGAAAGCGTTTGACAGTGTCGAAACGAATGCAATCGTATTAGCGGTCGTCGACTCAACCTATATACGAACACTAGTAGACTTCTTGGAACTGCAGCATAAATATACAGCTTTTTCATCGACTACTCGTCATACTTATACGAGTAGAGGTTCGGCAAGCCGATACAATATCGCCAAAGCTGTTTACTGCCTCACTGCATTGGATAATGAATCCACTTAACTGGGACGAAAAGTGCTTGAGTACTTATGGAAAACTACCAAATCTTCGTTTCGCGGATGATAACCTATAACATCTTTGGGACCCAGGTGAATATACATTGATAGCGAAAAATAAACGGGTCGGTCACATAACAGATGACAGATGGACGAAAAGAATACTGCAGTGGATTCCAAGAGAATACATTCGTCCTCTTGGAAGCCTACCCTAAAGAAGGGCGGACGTTCTCCTGGCTAACGACGCGCATTCGCAAATGTATCTCCTAACTGCAAGCCTTTAGAAACTCAGAATTAAACTGCGCGAGAGAGAAACGAATGGAAGTAATGCTGTGTCTGCACAACCAGTAAAGACGGCCTATCCAAGTACCCAAGAAGGAATTACGAAACGCAGTGAAAAGTAAAGGTATTCAACAGTTAAAGAATATAACTATGATATATTACGTACGATTCAACCTACACCTCGCTACTGAAAGTGACTAGAAGACAATTCTCAACTTTAAAGAAAAAGAAAACAATAAGAAACGACTGCCGTCAGGGATAACCAAGAACAGACTACAGTATGGAAGTAAAACATTAGTTTATGTAACCAACAGTTATTATCGACTTGGCTTTACGGTTTCAACGTACCTCAAAAATATTATGAGATAATTAGCTTCGTTATCATCGTTAAGATCTTGGAAAATGGTTTTGGAACCTACTTGCCGTGACCAAATCGGACCCATCCATTTGTAAAACTAAATAATCAACACACTTCACATGAAATAGAATATCCATACCAGCAACAAGATCATGATTAGACTAACCACTTCACAAAAATCAGTCGTCGTGAAATCAGGATAATCGAGCTTGATAAGGCGATCTTGCCAACCCTTACAGACTTTCTCAAACCTAGAAAATGTAACAGTAATAGGAATTGACTTGATTTAAACATCATGTAATTGTACTGTCGTTGACTCTTCGAGATAAAGAGGCAAAGGACAACGCTCTGACGTTGATTAGTCCCTGATGGATGGGCCACGCACTCGACTTCATTAGGTATCGCTGGAGGTGATCGAATGCCCATCTGGCCTTCACAATGACTCCCGGTAGCCTTTGTTTGGTAGCAATTTGCCGACCCCGGAGGGATGTAAAGTTTGATGAGCCATAGACGTGGAGATTGATCCCATATGTGTTGCACGGCGCTTCCGACCGTTACGTTACATGCGCCCCATTTTTCGAGATGAACGCGCCAAAAATCTTCACCTCGTACACTCATCCGGATCTTTAAGCATTAATTCAATCTGCGCAACCAATACAGCACGATAAAAACAGTTACCATCCCTTCGAATAATACGGATGTCACTATAAGTTTCCAGCAGCTCCTAAATACCACATGTTCTAGTTCCGTAACGCAACAAAGAGGAAGGTATGCCTGTTACCTTTGCTTTTGTATAGTACTCAGAACTCTCCACTGGATCGTATTCCATAACGACAACCTCGAAAGGTACTCGGTCACCAACAAGTGGTGTTTTCTTTTGCTGTAAATAAGTAACGACATAGTAAGAGTAGAAGTAAAGTGTTAATATATGAAAATAGAGAAAACTTAAAAGTAAAAACAAAAAGGAAGAAAATCGTTACTTCTTGTTCAATCTGCTTAAGTTGTGCTTCAGTCAAGTCATTCTCTCTCTGAGCTTCCTCTTGCACTTTTTTTGCACGATCTAAAACTTACCCAACATTAAGTACATTAAAAGTGGAATATCCCCTAGCAAGATTTCCCAAGCTGAGAAGGAGTCCTATGCTTCTATCAAGAAGCTCAGCTAAAAGTGAACCAATATCAGGGTCCACCACCGCCAGGGTATCAATTTAGCCCTTTGGTGAGAAATCTCCCTTTGATTCACAACGGCGGCGATTGCCTGCGGTGGTGAAGACCTGGAGCAGACTTTGGCTAGGCTGACCTCGAGACTACAGGGAACCACAATGATTAAGCCCGCAAAACTCCGAAAAAATGGGGATTATGCTGGGGCCAGCGCAACCAGTGAGGATGGCCCATCCAAGCATCCAAACAAGTAAAAGTGGAGCGAAATACAACCACAACGTTGCTGAGATATTTGCAAAACTCTGGACTCCGCAGGTGTCTATGGTGGGGAACGAACGCGCTACTGTCCCTTCCAAGGAGTAACTCGTTCACCACTACACCATGCGGGTCCTTTGTTTCGCCTGTCTCTCAGCTATTTCTATCGATCTTTGCCACAGCAATCACCCGTCAGCGGGATTGATCTGGGGCGCCCAAATCGGCATAGAACCCAGTTAAGCTGCGGCTGGTTGAAATCACAATGTTATACCTTTTCATTTTTTGCCTACAATAATTTCGCGGGAGGGTACAAGGCAAAATACAACCACAACGTTGGTGAGATATTTGCAAAACTCTGGACCGCAGGTGTCTATGGTAGGGAACGAACGCGCTATTGTCCTTTCCGGGAAGTAACGCGTTCACCACCACACCATTAAAGCCGAAAAGTAGAATACTAAGAAAGAAAGATAAAATGTACAACTCAGTACTTCCTAGGTAATACAGCTTAACCAGACAAACCTTCCGCATCGTCCAGAGATTCTCCAACATTAGATTCCACGCCTGAAGGTTCTGTGGTGGATACAGTCTCGACAGGAGTCATGCTTTCGTCGACACGAAAACAGCACTGAAAGGAATTCTGCTGGACATTCGGTAAGTTCTAAAATAACAAACAGTACGGCAAGTGGGAATGAACATTCGAGGACTGCCGACGTAATGGTGAAAATGGAGCACGGAATCCTAGAAATTTCATACCTACTCACAAGAATTTTATTCTGTACTTACAAGTTATTACCGTATTTTGGAACAAAGCTGGTTATTCTTGATAGAAAACGGATGAAGATGTGTTTATCACGAATATACAGTTGTATTTTGAAAGAAGCGAACCAAAGGAGAATCGATCTTTGTCCTGTCAATCGGAAAGTACAAGAAGCCTCAATGTAATGATGAATTGAATGCTAGAAAATCGATAATAAATCAATATGTTGGTGAAAAGTCGTGGATAAGATGATGTATACTACTTAGGAACACTTCGATACTCAAGGGTTTCTAAGAGGGAATCCCTAAACATCCGGATAGAAGACTAGAGCTCGGGACAATAAATGAGTATCTTTTTCCCGGCTCTGTTTGAAAACTTCTTTTAGAAATAACGAACTATTTCTTGAGTATGCACACCTGTAGAGTAAACGTTGGAACTTCTGACTGGATTCCAGTTGACTTCACGGTTCAGAACTACTCTAGCCCTTACCTAACTGACTAAAGTAACTTAGTCTCGACGTTTCGAGTGAACACCACCAGCACAAACATGTTTACTTCAAGAAATGTAACGTATTGATAACGTAGACTATACAGATCTTCTACTGTTCTTCCTATACCGCACAGTATAATAGGAAACGGTTAAAACAGAAAACCCTCCTACTCGAAGACAAACGTGCTCCAATCAAGAAATTTAAGCATGCCATAATGGGAAGTCTGCAGGTGAGGTATATAGGAACGCAGACATTTTTGTATGTAGCTGTATCAAATATTGTGCTAACATTACTTTTGTGTATGAGTGTGCATTGCTAGGGGCACGTGTACCACAGTGGTTGGAGATGTCATCCTATACGCAGGTGGTTGTTTGTTCGATCCCACGCCCGGGTTCGCCAACCCTCCCATTCCTACGCGATTGGAAAATTAGTACTATACCTGTCTGGGAGGATAGCAGCACTAACTTGATGCATCAATAGGCCACCGTAAGCGATCATGTAGGCCAGATATGCACTCAATCACCTCTAACGATTCTTGATTAAGTCGAATGTCTCGTGCATCTTTTAGGAATCGATCAATGCCAAAAGCTTAATCTTTTATCACTTATGTATACGAGATAGAGACCATTCTCTAGCTAATTGAAAACAATTCATATCTTTTAGTATTATCATGTTTCTTAAGTTAGTCGAGTATTGCTGCATGTACATTGCCACCGTCTAATCTGTCGAAGGGATAGAAAGGATAAAGCCTACGGCGTTGGTCAATCGAACGATGCGCGATGCATTAGACTTCATTAAGCATCGTTGCAGGTAATTAAATGCGTATGTGTCTTTTGCAATGACTCGCGGTGGCCTACCGATGAATCGAGCCAGTGCTGTTATCCTTCCAGACAAGTCTGGTACCAATTTGCTAACCCCGGAGGAATGGAAGACTTGGTGAGCCGTGGGCGCGAGGACCGATCCTGTGCGTATTTCAGGGGCGTATGGCTACTGTAGTGCTTGGTAACAGCTCTATTATGTTGTTATTTCTCAACTGTCTGGAAAACATTTTGTGATACGCTTTATGGCAACATCTGTAAAACTGTAAAAACAATTTCTAGGAATGAATCACTCCTATTGTAGCAACATCTGCCTTCAAAGGATATATAGAAGTCATCATCAGCTGGTGAAATCATTTCATCCACCTGAACCTTTCCGCTCATTTTCCAATGATAGATAGTCATAGCCTGCCACCAACATTGTGTTAAAAGTTGTTCTCATGTACACAGTTACAGGACTTGATACTTAAATGTCCCATTCACAATGGTTGTACGGGTCCCAGCATAATCTCCATTTTTTCGGAGATTTGCTGGTTGAGCTATTGTGGTTCCCTGTAATCCTGAGGTCAGTCTGGCCAAAGTCTGCCCCAGGTCTTCACCACCACAGACAGTTGCAGCCCTTGTGGATCAGAAAGAGATTTACCACCATGCGACTTTGATACCAGGACGGAGGTGGATCCTGGTATTGGTTTACTCTTAGCTAGGCTTCCTGATAGAAACGGCGGACTCCCTCTCGGCTTGGGAGACTCATCTAGGGGATGAATCCCCGCTGTACATCGTGACCGGTCACCCAGGAACACCTCTTAGCCACGATGAGGCAGTAAACCGTTAGGAGGAGCACGACAATAAGAGAAGAAAAATTCCGTCTTTCGAATGTTCGCAAAGGTTTAAGGTCCTTTTATGCCTAGTTATTTTTGTTCTGGCTCATTTTCCAAGGAGTAGCGGGGTGGGTAGTGATGCAGTCCGTCAATAAGGCAGGTAGGTACTGGTTCAACACCTTCCTCAGCACTCTTCCCAAGTCATCGTAGAAACCATTTCATATCTTGCCGGGAAGTTTTACAGTAGGTAGTAAATAAAAAAAGCTAGCATTGTGATTTGGAATTGTCCATAACATTTATTCAAATTTAGGACATATTTGGTGGAATCCATGGAGCTTATTCTACAACATAATCAAGTAATTTCTTAACCCTTTTCACGACCATGCGCTTTGATTTCAATATGCATACGCTGCTATACATTTTGGACCGATTTCAAGACTCACCTCAATTGCGCTCCAATGACACGCGGTGCGATGAGTCTGCTATGTGAAGGTGGCCGCAGTCGTTAAACGATTAAGGAGACGGTTGATAAACAAGTGAAAAACCACTGATTATCGCTTTTCATATAATGAACCAACACAACTCATCCTATCCCTAAGCGTACATCGAGAAAGCCTGCCTACTTCTTAGTTTACGACAAAGTTCACGACGTAATCCGCAACTACACGTGACACACCTCCAGATGGTTCGATCAACTTTGGGAATCATAACTGTTGGAAAAATCAGTACATACAGTCATTTTTTCTAGATATTTGAGATACCGAGAACTATGTGCTTACGTAAAGTGAGAACTAGACTGGAATATGACCATTATTCTTAAAAAGATAGATCATAAAACAAAATCCCGACCCTGGTGATGGTAGGTTACAACAAGTACTCTGCAATTACTGCATAAAGAGAAAAGATTTTTTACATCTCTACGGACTATCTAAAGCCTGAACCAGTATTCCTTCTAAGACGCACGTAAGGATAAATTTATTTGCTAAGTTTCTTTTTATTCTCCTGGATCTCGAAGATTTGACAGATTTCGAAGGTCACAGCTTCGCATTCCGGTTAGATATTGAAAGTGCCGGTTGTATTTCAGAAGACATCGCTCAAACGCTCTGTGAGTAGTTCGAAGTATTCTTGACGTAGCTGAAGTATCAACCTACATCTCTGCAGCACAACAGAGCGCTGGGAGTACCGTAGAATCAAAGAGATGAGCGCGGATTTTCGGGTCCTTCAGTTGGTTGGTGGCTTCTTTGAGAGGCCCGAATGCGGCCCAAGCTGCTCTCCTTCTTCTATCTAATTCCTCCATGTTGTTTTCCATGTTCATTGATCGCCCAAGGTAAACGTACGAGGTGGTCTCTGCAATGAGAAAGCCATCCAATTCAATTTTTTCGCCTTCGCACCATGGGTTTTTCATGAATTGGGTCTTCTTTCGACTTATGCGAAGTCCGATCTTTTTCCTCGCTTAATTGAGCTCGTTAATCATCTCCTCTGCTCCGCTAGTACTTCTTGAGAAGATGATAATGTCGTTGGCAAAACGAAGGTTTTATAGGAATTTTCCATCAATACGTATGCCTTTCTCGTCCCAATGGAGTGACTTCATTATCCACTGCAGTGCGGCACTGAACAGCTTTGTCGATGTTGCGTCGCGCTGTCGAACCCATTTTCCTATGGGTATTGTAAGAGGTCGATGGAAAAGCTCTATTTTCGCAGTGCAGTTCCGATAACAGTCGGACGGTGTGCTTATATAGGACGGGTCCACTCCTTGATCGACGAGCGCTGATAGAATTGAAATCGTTTCGACAATTTCAAACGCTTTCTCATAGTCGACAAAGATTAGGACTAGAGGTAAGTGGTATTCCCGGCAAACTTCGATGACCTTGGCACATCATTTTCGTGAAGAGTTTGTAGAGTACACTTAACAAGCATATGCGACGGTAGTTACGAAGATCCCTTCAGTCTTCTTTCTTGGGCAGGATGACCATGCGTGACGTCCTCCACTGGTCTGGGATTTTCTCCTTTTGAAGATAGCCTGTCATATGATCTGCAAGGAGTACATGTAAATTGTGGTCTTCAGCTCTAAGGAAATCGGAAGTGATATTATCGGGTCCTGGAGCTGTGCCTTTTCATGCTTTCTATCGCAACTCGAATCTCTGACGAAAGAATTCCAGGTGGTTTTTCACCAGCGGGGATATTAGAGCCTGGGATGGAGATTGTGGAACGGTAAAGGTTGGTGTGGAACGTTTCCACTATTAATTCCATGTCATTTGACGGTTGACGATTCCATCCTCGTTCATCAGGACTGACAGCGGAACATTATAATCACACAAGCCCCGACGGCATTTTTTCATACTGTTTCTTTTCTCTGCAGCTTCCAGTATTTTCTTCTGCTCGTACCGTTGTAGATCTTCCTGCAAAGCTCTTATACAGCTACGGAAATAGGCTTTGTAAATTTCCGTACTCTTCGTCCATCTACGAACTAGGTATTTAGTTTCAAAATGCTTCCATTTTCCACTTTTTCATTCATTTCTATTTCCTTTTTTTCATTCAAAACATATTCAACGAAGTGGCTCATGGATATTCCTGATTCTTTTTGTGGAGAACTACATAGTTGTTCTCTACTATCTTGTTTCATCGATAGACTAACAGGAATTTCTTACAAGAGTTTTTCAGCAATCATTAAAATTCAGAAGAAAACAATCGTATGTGTTTAAATTGTTGAACTCACACAAAGTTGATAGAGATGTTTATTTAGCTGACGTCTCGACGTCTTCGTCCTCATCAGAGCCGATGATCGAAGTCGATGGTTCACAGTTGTTCGATTTCTCGGTGTGGCATCTTCGTCATCGCATCGAGACGGATCTTCTCGTCAGTGGAACACCACACTAATGAGGCATGCTGAACCGGAAGTGTTCTTATATACAGGGCTGTTGCTATTGGTACGACTATCCGTTAATAGTAGTTTGTTTTTCAAGGGATGATCGATAGTGCCTCCCAACGATTTACCGCCTCATCGTGGCCAGGAGCTGTTCCTGGCTGTCGGGCTACGATGGACAGCGGGAGGATTCATCTCCTTGGCAGGGTCTCCCAAGCTGAGAAGGAGCCCGGTGTTTCCATCAGGAAGCCCAACTAAGAGCAAATCAATACCAAAATCCACCACCGCCCTGATATCAAACTTGTCGCATGTTGGTAAATCTTCCTCTACTCCACAAGGACGGCGACTGCCTGTGGTAGTAATGATCTGCGGCAGATTTTGACTATGCTGATCCTAGTACTCCAGAGAACCACAATGGCTAAACCAGCAAAACTCCGAAAAAATAGTGATCATGTTGGCGCCCACGCAAGCAGTGAGGACGGCCGTCCAAGGATCCAAGTGATCCACCTAGCAGCCGTGGGTATTATATGAGTTTGCACAAAGCGAGTGGCAAAACAGTTTTCAAACCGACCGTTGTTTAACTTCGGTAGCAAAAAAAACAATCATACTTATTTGTTAAGTGCTTTGTGATGTGCATTGTAGTAGTATTCGTTCATTTATGAACATACTAGTTACTTTAGCCACTTTTGGATTCTTTATCTTGTCGTAGAACTCTATATTATCTCTTAACATATCGGGTAATCACCTTTTACTTTGTGTAGTAAGACCATAGAGCTCGCTTCATTACTGGGCTTGCTCATTGACTGTTTACCACATAGTGAGTGCTATCAGTCAGCATCGTGCTGTTTTTCTCATTTTCCGATTCGATTAAGTTCGACTTGACTTGACCACTGATTTGATTGATTGATTTGATTGGTGGTTTGTTTGTTTAACAGGGGTCTCACAACTGATAGCGATCACTACTGACTGTCTAGTCTAATCTGTCATACGGTTTCTACTTCTTTGAGCTGACACGAGTTTTCCCACACGTATTTCGATGACCTTAGCTTATGGGTTCGATGACTTCGCCATTTTCAGAGCTGGATTTGTCTTTAAGGGTTGATTAAGGAAAGAGTTAGGGATTGTCTAGGTGGATTCTTTTGTGGCTGAACCATTGACGTTGTAGTTCGTGCTACTACCATGGTTCCGTTTCCGTTCCGTAGTCCAGTGTACTAAACTTTGTGTTTATTTGGGTTATCAGTTGTTGAGTGACCCGCAGTATTGTCTTATCAAGCTATCTCCATCCGTATCATCGCGAAACCTCATGCATTCGTTTTTTGTTTCCACTACGCGAAACTCGGCTTGCTTCCGAACCTTTTCAGGATACCTAACTTCTTGTAAGTGTTGTTTCTTATCTGTACATATCTTCTTATAAGCTGCCATTGTTTAGCTGACGCAAGGTTGGTATAAATGTTCTTATTGTTGTTGTCGTTATCGTTGTTGTTGTTGTTGTTGTCGTGGTCGTTGCTGTTGTTGTTCAATGACTGATGTTTCGGTGACTTTGCCTTCCTCAGAACCATCCGTGTGTCGTTCACGAGGGATGGTGTTGTTTTGATGATTTTGTTGTTGTTCTGTTGTTTCTCATTTTCCGGATTCATCACAGAATAAAAGGCTGGGATCTCGTTTGTAATTTCTCGCGCTGTGTTTCTTAGGCGTTTTCTCTACGGTTTTGTGCAGTTATTTTGTCTTAAGCATATCTAAGCGTTATTTTTTTTTCGCGATTTTTGAATTTTCTGGAAGGATACTGATTGAAAACGATCGTATTCCAGGTCATTCGGCGAAAGCCGAGCACGAACGAAATGATATAGCTTTGGAAAACAACCGTAATTAGTAGTGGCGTTGATCTACGGATCCACCACTTTTACGGAACTCTGGAGATGGTTTGCTGTGAATCATTACTGCTTATTTTACAAATTTGTGTATTGAACATAATAACTGAAAGGGCACCTCGGGAAGACTACTATTGTTACACTAACGGTGCGCTGCAGGTGATTTTTTCCTAAGTCTCATTGTGCTCCGAATTTCAGGTTCAATAGCCATTAAAATGTGTTTACGTCAAGGTAAAGTGCTTCATTGTGGTCTGTGATGAGAGTTAAAGCGTAAAGGTTGAAGCTCTCGGCGTTGATCAACCTCTAGGAGATGCGCCATGCATTCGACTTTATTAGGCATCGTTGGAGATGACTGAATGCATATCTGGCCTTCACAATTACTCGCCGTGGTGTACCGATGTATGGACCCAATGCTGCTATGCACCCAGACAAGTCTGGTACCAATTTACCGACCCTGGAAGGATGGAGGGCTTGGTGTGCCAGCGGTGCGGAGATCCATCCAATGTGTATTGCAGGGCGTCTCCGACCACAAGTGACCTATAATGAGGGTTACTACTTATGAACATTTACTTCTGACACTGTTAAAATATTTGTGGTAATTCTTGGTTAAGAGGCGATTCGTAGTAAAATCTTTCATTGCCTATTAATTGATGTTTCATTGTGTTTTCTTATGCATTGAAGAGTATATAGTATGCTGTTTGTATGCTATTAGGAACAATATTTCAAACCGACTTTTATTTAATCAGGGTATAAATGGTGTCGGTTTGCGATATACAACGGAGTGATTCATCCCCCCAGCAGAGAAGGAGTTCGTCGTTTCCATCAGAAAACCTAGCTGAGAGTGAACTAATACCAGGACCCACCTCCGTCCTGGTGTCGAACAAGTCGCATGGTAGCGAATCTCCCTCTTATGCACAAGTGCGGCGACTGCCTGTAGTGGTGACGACCTGGGGCAGACTTTGGCCTGGCTGACATCGGGACTCCAACGAAGCACAATGGCTAAACTAGCAAAACTCCAAAAAAGGTCGAAATTGTGCTGGCGTCCATGCAACCAGTGAAGACTGGGCTTCCAAGTATCCAGCTAAGTAAACATAAATGACCAATCTACCTTGTATCATTGATAAGCTAGCACGAGGTGGTTACCAATGTTTATTCAGCTAACATATCGACGTCTTCGTCTTCCTCAGATCTGATGAACTGAGTCGACGTTCATATTTTCGATGTGGTGTCTTCCTTATATCAAGCCGGATCTTCTTTAAAGGAGAATCTCTCGAATGGAGCATACTCACCCGAATATGGTCTTACATACAAGATTCTTGTTACTGGTAGTCGTGATTGTTCGGCGATTGTCCACAAAAGATCCGGCTCGATACGACAACAAAGACACCACTTCCAGAATAGGTACGACTGTGGACATCGACTGGGATCATGGGCTCTGGTGAAGACGAAGGCGTCGGAGCGTTAGTCAGATATATATTGGTAGCGACATCATATTAGTTTATCATTGAAGTATGGTACTATTGAAAACGTATATGATACTTCACTATCTTCTCTTACTGCAGTTAAGGCTGCTTTCTTTATTTTTACAGCTGTTTCACTGCTACCATGCGAAATCAGTTCAATCAAAGCAGCACTTTCAGGATGTTCCTTGTCGTTTTTTCGCCATAATATTCGACGCAGGTTCAACGGGAACAAGGCTCCACCTATACAGATACGTTCATAGCACTGATCAGAATGAACTTCCTTTCAAAGTCGAAGAAGAAACATTTCGTGAAGTTAGTTGTCATTTATTTTCGGTATCGCAGAGAGTATTATGGTTCCTGTTGCACTGTTCGTTTGGCTGGAAGTCTGTTGAAGTTTTTTTTTTATTAAATGAATTGTAGCTTAGGACGAAGTAGAAACAAGGTCCCACTTTTGCTTTATTTCGACGTTTTTCATTTGTACTTCACCAACACGGTACTAATCCCTTAGATTGTAGAATTGGGTTTGTGAAAATGTTTTTTAAAAGTGAGGATTTATAATTGTCTGAAACTTATCGTTTGGACTATTTCGTCATCTCACAAAGATTGCTTTTCAGGTATCACCAGGGTTGTCATCGTACAGTCATAACCCTGCAGGGGCTTCTGAATCTATTCGAAGTCTAATACAAATCGCACATGAAACAATCCCACCTTTCATGTGGGATAAGACCCCTATAACACTCAAAGCAACTGCCGGCCTTCGGTTGCTTCCCGGAGATATGGCCGACGATATATTGGATGCGGTGATTCTTCTGTTTTCTAAATGATTATCAAAGATGTTTCTTTTAACATGGAAGGAAATGCAGAGGTCAGAGGTTACCTGTAATACACATGGGTTAAATCACCGCCTCCAAGGCTCACCAAGCCTTCCATCCCTTCGGAGTTGTCAAATTGGTACCAGACTTGTTTGGGAGGATGGTAGCACAGTATCGTTATATTGGTAGGCCACCGCAAGTCATTCTAAAGGCCAGATATGCATTCAATCACCTTCAACGATGCTTAATGAAGTCGAAATCATGGCCCATCCCTCAGGGATTGATCAACACCGAGAGCTTTATACATGATCGTTTTATAAGGAAACATGGTTTGTAACTTGTATATCTGAGGATCCTGAAGTCGAAAGGAATTTTAGAACATGGATCTAGTCAACTGTAGAAAAAACGCTGAAGGCTTTCGTATACATGACTCAATCCCATCTTTTATTGTATGGGCATTGCGAAAATAATAGCAGCCAATACAGCTTACAAGTTTTTGAGTTTGGTCCACGAATTCAACACTATCTTTAGGTCGAACGTGAGATTGTGAACAGTGGTTTTTTCGCAGTACCTAATGGAGTGGGCATAATGAGTGGATCTGACGAAGGAATATATAGCTGGTTAACTTTGAACTTGCTCCTGAATGTATTCTATTCAGGTAAAGTAGTTGACTGTAGTGATTTCATTGCGTTATTTACCGGAGACGTCAGAAATGCTTTTCTCTTTAGACGATGTTAAACTTCCCTATTTTCCTGATGCATCGCGAACTGTTGCCGCTTTCGATCTAGGCGGTGGATCAACCCAGCTCACATTTTGGCCAGTGGATCAACGTATTTTCGAACATCATTCAGAATACAGAAGAGATATAGAGTTCTTTGGGCACCGAATGCAGTTGTTTACACACAGGTTTGTGATCTCGTTTTTAGTTATCTCCAGTTATGCTCTTCTTCTTCATGGTTTAAAATCTAACAGTAACATCTTCCACTTATTTTTTTTAAGGTTTAGCAAAAGTTGTGTGGTGCTTCCTTATTGTCGTGTTTCTAGCTTTCTAGGCAATGGTTTGGTTGCGGCACGTCTCAATACGTTGTTACACATAACGGGTGATGAAGCTGAGGTAAAACATGAACTCAGTACGCCTTGTATGCCGTCGGATTTTCGGCTTCAAGACTGGGAATACGCGCTCAGAAAATGGACCATTAGGTTGGGACGGTTTTATATAGCTGGTTCAAATGTACTGTTGGTTGAGCTTAGTAGCTGAATGGTTATTGTACAGTCCTCCTATTTAACGGCAATTAAAAATACCTGGATTTTTAGGGCTTTTAGGATTCTTAGCTTTTGCCTTAATATCGTTTCCTTATATTATTTGACTTGAAATAGTTAGAAATCCAACTACTGTCAACGTTCCTGTGTTACTACGAGTTAGAAGAATCATTGAGTATTGCATTTGGAAAAGAATTTTGAAAGTAAAACAAGTACAAAATGCTCTAGAGAGGATTTTAAGCATTCAAAACACCATGTTTCTGGTACTTTCTAAATGTCCCATACTGTTTTGGTTTCAGTGGTATGCAGACGTACTCGTTTAACGCTTGTTATGATAACGCTCGTCAGTTTGTCGCCTACAGCGAGGTTATGAAGCTTCCAAGTAAATTATATAACTTTTCCTGTCACATTGAACATAATAGTATGACGTCTGAAGCTTTCCAGCTATAAGTAATTTTTCCTATTAGGTAGCGGTACGTGTAGCGCAGTGGTCAGAGGCGCCCTGCAATGCACATGGAATCGATTCTAGCGCCCCACGCCCACCAAGCCTTCCATCCTCCGGGGTCGGCAAATTGGTACCAGAGTTCTCTGGGAGGCTAGCAGCACTGGCGTAATACATCGAAAAGCCACCGCGAGTCATTGTAAAGGCCAGATGTGCGATGGAGAACATTACAGAGAACATTCTTCATGAATATAAAATGTTCTCTATGTATGGATTCAGTCACTTCCAACGGTGTTTAATAAAGTCGAAGGCATGGTGCATCCCTCAGGGATTGATAAACGCTGAGAGCTTTATCTTTTTTTCTATTAGGTAAAATTTCACTGAAGTGATATGTGATTTATATCCATTGACACAGTTCTTCAATACACATTGTGAACCCAAGTGCTTTTCTTACCCTCTGGTTATTTACTTTATTATTTGTAATCGGGCATTTCAGCGCTTGAAGGAAAGATGATTTATTTGTTCTCTTACTTCTTTGATCGTGGGCTGAACGCAGAGCTCGTTAAAGAACATAGCGGAGGCGCAGTGAAATTGGTGGACTTCAAAGTAGCTGCAGAAAAAGGTGTTCTGCACAACACTTCTCTTTATTGTTGATAGTTTTGTAGAGCTTTAGTCATATCCAATAAATAATTGAAAGAAAAACCTTACAAATTTCGCTTATTTAGCGTGCTCACGGACAAAGGAGGAGCTGAGAGGTTCCCATTGGTTGCCCTGGCTTTGTCATGATTTGACTTATATTTATAGCCTTCTATATGATGGATATGGATTTGGTGATACCCAACCATTTTATGTGAGGTTTCCTTCATCATCTATCATTTGAGTGAGGTTATTGTTTAATACTAGAATTGAACTGCGATTATTTATGGAAAAATGAGGCTGAGAGCTCAGAAGACGAACTGAATGACAGTACTTTTTTAGGAAGTACTTTCTTGTCCTTTTAAATGTTAAGAGAATAGAAAAATTCTACATCTTTAAAGGATGAAATTCTTTAGGTCTACTAGTTTTGCGAAACATATTTGGTTACGTACTTACTGAGGTGTCTGATTTTCAGTTAGCGAAGAAGCTCAAAGGAATGGAAGTAGCTTGGGCTCAAGGGTTATCCTATGTACTAGTAGACGAATTCCACAGAACTCACTTGTCACCAGTCAATAGGCAAATTAATGATACAGTTGTGGGTCAGATTATGTCTTACATTTATTCAGGTACCAATAATTTATTGTCCTATTTGAACATTATTTCATAATTGTTGGGGCTTCCCCTTTAGAGAAATTGGCAACCGTTTGTTTTATATAACCTGTGTCGCTGGGGGTTTGATCTTACATCTCAGTATATTGCTATATCACTTATCGGTTAACATTAGACAATGAATACAGTGGTTTGTGATTTTTTGTAATGTTTACTCTCTGAACATATCATTGCTTTGACCCTGTGATCTGTGATGATTTGCGACCTTTCTAACTTAACAGTTGCTGTTCAGATAACAGATCTTTTACGGGAATGTTTGTAGTTCTTTATTATGATGAGGTAATGAATAGCTATATTTCATTAAGTCGTTATCATGAACCATCTACATAGTTCCAGAAAGGGACCATTCTTGATTATCCAGAAATTGGTCCGAGATTTTCAAAAGCCTACATACAAATCGATGTAAATGCGGTGCTGCCATCTCATGCTACAACCCGTACAATTTCACATTTCTGCGAAATATGATATTCAACTAGTCTATCCGGCTACCCGGAACGATCTGAGTGCAACAAAATACGAATAGTTGACAATTTGGAGGTTTCTCACTTGTAGTGCAAAAGGTTTTGGTTTCATATAAACGTTTTTTGAGGGTGGTCTTTGAATAGATGACCGCTAGTGAGTGAGTGAGTGCCTTTGTGTTGTGTTCTTGAAAGTGGAAAATCTCTAAGTTCTCTTAGTATTGGTTGAGGTTAAGGTTTCTGGAACGCATACAACGTCTCGTAGAGATTTAGATTATCGCCGTAGGTGCTCATCAATTTCGAGGCATTCGGCCATTTGCTGTAGTCAGCACAGTATTTGATACGCATCAGCTGGTAGTTATGAACCTTCTTTTCGTTTCGCCAAATCGGACAGAGCCTGTAAAAAGCTTGGGAGATCGTAAAATGTTTGCCGTAGTTATCGATAAGGAAACTCTGCTATACACTGCACAACTCAGTTCTTATCCTTCCCAGAGCATCCTCAGCTAACGGTTGCATAGCTTCTTGATTTTTCCGTTAGTGAAATATAAGGGAACTTTCTCACTCCGTCAACAAAGAGTGGAAACATTTGGCGTCCCACTTCTTATGATTCGTGATCAGTTTTTTCAACTAGTGGTCACGTACCTGTATTCATCGTTAAGTTGGGGATGTTCACGATTTATGCAGTATTGTTGTTGTAATCTGTTTCTAGTACGAATCAGTTTTCCGAGTTTTTTCGCCTGCTCTGTTAGTCGGTGCACGGTCTTCAATGGAAGTTCGGCTTTATTTAGAAGGCACTCCTCTACCGGCTCGTATTCATCGTCCTGAAATCGAACAAATTTTTGAAGAAGCAGAGATATACGACTTCTGTTTTTCAGTCGACAAAATATGATTAAATGAGAGGGGGTGAGTAGCACAATGGTATTGATACCGATCTTCACGGTCACGATTCCGGTACGATCTCGTCCAGGCTTACTAAGCATCTCATCCGTGCGGGGTTGGGAAATTGATACCGGACTTGACCGGGGAAAGTACTCTCTGCAGCTCAATTGGGAACACTCTAGTGTGGCTAGGTATCTCAGGACTCTAGCGAGAATCGACTCAACCAGCATTCATCGACAATCATGACGTAAGGTAAATCATCAGGCAGTAACCAAATTGGCGAACGAAGACCTTCCAGAATTACGGATGCGAGGAAACGAATCCGAAACGAACGAAGGAAATCGATTGCAAGAAATACGGGGATCCGCACAATATATGTGAAGGACAGGGCTTATAAATAAATGAGAGACGGAAAAGTCGAAAATCAATAAAAAGTGGGAGTTTATATTGGGAAATTGTTTGCATTTAAATGCTTTACTTCGTATGTCGACGAAAAATGTATGGGTATATTTATATTTATTTACGCCGCGTATAGTAGGCGGTTCAGGGAGCGAGTAAGCACATGCTAGTGACGCCATTCATCACGACCATGGTGCTTGTTCGGCTCCATACCGGACTCATGAAGCCTCCTATTCCTCCGAACCGATAAATTGGTACCAGACTTGCCTGGGGCAAGCTCATTGCTTCCAATCCACGTAGGAACACCTTAGTTCATCTATTCCAAGACTGCAGGGAGAATCGACTCGACTGGCACTCATCGACGTTTGTAACGAATAGAAAACTCAATAGCAGAAAAAAAAGAAAAAAAAAGGAAAAAAGAACCCAAACGCAGTAATTTCGAAGACTTTCATGAATGATAGATGCGAGGAAACGAATGAAATGCAAGAATTGTTGGGAGCCGCAAAGTAGACAACGAGACGGGTTATGTAAAAATAAAAGAGAATAGCAAGTGTTTTATCAAGTAACAAGAGTTCAGATGTTGGAAGCTTCCCCTCCTAAAGTATTATGTTTCGTTTTCATAACGCTGAAATATTTGCAAAACTCCGGACCGCAGATGCTTGCGGTGGGGAACGAACGCGCTGTTGTCCTTCCCGGGGAGCAACGCGTTCATGACCACACCATGCGGGTCCTTCGTTTCGCCTGTCTCTCAGCTAGTTCCATCGAAAGACCCGCATAGTGTGGTGGTGAACGCGTTACTCCCCAGAAAGGACAATGGCGAGTTCGTTCCCCACTGCAGACACCTGCGGTCCGGAGTTTTGCAAATATCTCAGCATTATGAATGTTATATTTCGCGACCTGCCTTGCCATTAAAAAGAATAGGCAGTAAGTAAAAAAGTTAATATTATGTTTCGATTTAGCAAAATCAAAATACTCCGTCGTCTTCAGATTCTTTACTGCATCAGTTCGACATTTAATTATAAGCGTAGAAGGAAGCATAGTTCTCGAATTACACAAAGCGCGACAGATGTACAAACTTGTGACTAGTATCTATATAGATGTTTTCCTGCATCGTGCATGAGAATGAATCACCAATCAGTGGAGGACATCGCTTTTGCGAAAAGGAGAGAAAATCATTTCGGGAACGATCATCATACATGCGTATAAGATTTGTGTGATTTCTGTACAAGGAGTTTGCCATGGTGATACTCATGTACCTCCTAACGGTTTACTGCCTCGTCGTGGCTAGGAGGTGTTCCTGGATATCGGAGTGCGATGTACAGCGGAGGGATTCATCCCCTCGGCAGGATCTCCCAAGCTGAGAAGAAGTCCAGCGTTTCTATTAGTTGTGGTTCCCTGGAATCCCGCGTTTTATTAGGAAGCCTGGCTAAGACTGGCTGAGACTGCCTGTAGTAGTGAAGACCTGGGGAGGACCTTGGCCAGGCTGACCTTTTTTTTTCCAAGGAACCACAATGGCTTAACCAGCAAATCTTCAAAAAATGGAGACTATGCTGGGGCCCGCACAACCAGTGAGGATGGGCCGTTCAAGTGTCAAATGTCAAGTGATACTCATGTTCATCTCAGAAGTAAGTTGGATGGTAAGAATGACCTTTGAAAATTACGAAATGCATACGAGGGTACTGGAGCCAATACAATTTAGTGTTGAGAGCTTTTTGACTCATCACCACTGCTTACGAAAGGAAGCAGTCGCATTCAAGGCATTAATGATCTCAAAACATAAGCGGTAGACAGTTGCAGACAACTGAAGGATAAGCTTAGTATAACAAATGGTAGAAATACTCTTAGTTAAGGTTTTGTTTGTTAGCAACAGAGTTATTTTGCTGGAAAACAATGTTTATTTGATGATAGCGAACGTGATCGAATCGATAGTAAAGCTGTGAATCAATCGGAAAACGATCCAGTTTGTGGGAAGCGTTCGAAATGGTGAAGAACATGTGACAATGAATGCAGTACCCAACAAGGTGACCATTCGATGTACATTTAGGATATTTTGTATGCATGAAGTCAGTCCTTTAGTGGCAATGAGGAGGACGACATTTTAGCCGATAAGAAATTGAGAGATCTGTTGTTTTAGTACAAAACTACTCAACTAATGGGATGGTTGCTGTGCCCGAAAACTTTTCTGTCTCCAGCGCTTTTGGAGCTTTTTAGTGCCCATTCTTCTTTTTGTTATCTCTGCTGTGGTCGCGGTTCCATTGTTGTCAATGGTGAGAAAACGTTTTTATTTAGCTAATCCTAATTTAGAGGAGACCCGAAATATACGGAGAAATACATACGGGTAGATTTTTTGGTGTGGCACTTCAAAAATGGAGTCCTTATGTAAGTTCAAGACCACAGAGTTCATGGTTGGTAGACGAACGTGAGATTAGAGAAGCAGGAGAAGATGAATCTATATAGAGGACAAAGGATAAAGCACACGGCGTTGATCAATCACTGAGGGATGCGCCATGCATTTGACTTCATTAAGCATTTGGTGGTGATTGAGTGCATATCTGGCTTTTACAACGGCTCGTAGTTGCCTACTGATGCATCGAGCGAGTGCTGCTTTCCTCTCAGACAAATCTGGTACCAATTTATTGACCCTGGAGGGATGAAAGGCTTGGAAGGGCATGGGTGTGGGGATCGATTCCACTTATGTGCTGCAGGGCGCCTCCGACCACTGCGCCAAACGCGCGCATGAAGCTATATGTAGGTAGAAATAGCCGCAATGTAAACAATGTAAATTTTGTTCAGAACGAACAATTTAGGTATGGGCGGTCCATAAAACCGCACCTACAGGAATAGTTACTAACGTTTGAGGTAAAATGGATTCTTACAAGGTGACCAATTTAAGGGAAACGCCAATTCGTATGTTTATAGACCCCATTCATTACGAGGGCGATCCAATAATCTATCCAGGCAATGGCTCGATCCCTCACCGCCCTGTCCAAGCTTCTCACAAGACTTGTCCGGGACAAGCTATCCCAGGATTCCAGGGAGGGTCGATTTGGCCAACATTAAATTAGACGAACAGTCAACATTAATTACATTCGTGATGAAAATGAAACATCCTCCCGTAGGAGCCCAATCCACACACAAATGTTCAGAGACCTTCTTGGATGCTACATATGATGAAATGGATCGAATGCAAAAAACGTTTGGATTCGCACGGTGTGATATATATAATGTAGAGTTATGCAATAATAATAATAATAATAGTAGTAATAATAATAATAATAACAGTAATAATACATGATACTTGATACTTGAACGGCCCGTCCTCATTAGTTGTGGGGGTCCCAGCATCACCATATTTCGGAGATTTGCTCGTTAAACCATTGTGATTCCCTGGAATCCCGAGGACAGCCTGGCCAAAGTCTGTCCCAACAGCAATAATAGTAATAATAAATCTGCAGTTTTGAATAAGCGAGAAGTGTAGAATTGGTTAATGCAGCGACTTAAAGAGATAGCCGCTTGAGAAATCAGATAATTTTCAAGTGTGGAGTGAGGTTGCTATCAATTTTAGATGTCGGGAAAAAGTGAGTTCAGTATTCAGTCAAGTGAAACCAGAGTGTATCAGTAGAATAGTAGCTCTTCGCTACATTGCGCTATACGGGTATTTAAATCAGTATACTCATGAACAAGCCGTAACAACAAAGCTTATTAAGATAAAAATAAGCATTATCTGCTCTTGTCTTTTCGACTATCTGACTTTTTCACCTCCTCAGCTGGGTTGCTTATTTTCTCATCTTCTCAATTTTGAAATATAATCTACTCGGTCAATTACGTTCAGTGTTTCAGGCACAATAGCGGCTCAGGTTAAATTACCCGTGTTTGAGGCTGACAGAATAGTACAACAACTAAAAGACTCGTGTGGCTAATTTTTTACGCGATTTGAACCGTTCCTCTCCTCCACTAACTATTTGTTACAAGTTCTCCATGTCCATTAATTGTCAAGTTCGGGTCAACATTGCGCTATTTCCGTTGATTTTGATTTGTCGATTAAGAACACTGGTTTCTTAGTGCTTAAATCAAAAAAACAGAAACATTTTTAAAATAGCGCATGCTCCATTTTATTTTTTACGGATGCGAGATTCCTAAAGCTAGTCATAGTAGCGATGCTGCTCATCACGAGCACAATTAGTGATTCGATCCCGCATCTCACTCACAAAGCCTCTCATTACTCCAGGGTTCCGGACTTCTCTGGGATCAGCTTACTCCTTGCAGTTCATGTGGAAGCGCCTTATTTCGGCTATCCCAGGGCTCTAGGAGGAATCGAATCAACTAATGTTGAGCGACATTCATGAGAAAGACTTGGATCCGCAAGTAGCACCCGAACCCACAAGCAAAAAAAAACTAAGACTTTTGTGGAGAATGGACGCAAGGCATCGAATTCAAGAAATTCTGGCGGGATTTGCACAGCAGATATGGTGAAGGCTAGTGTAAACAAAGCTTTCTAAATATAGTTATCTCAGAATGGTCTCTGTGAATGACGGCGTGAATCCACTGGTTGTTATCTGTGTCGCATAATAGGGAGGTGGTCCTTGGTTTCATCCTACAGCTGTAGTTACCTAAGACCTCAACTCCTAGGCTGGCATATTGATACTAAACTCAGATACCATAAGCAAACACTAACTTGATTGGCTACCGCAGGTCATTCCACATGCCAAATAAGCATTCAATCACCTCTGTGATGCTACGAATGGAGTCGCATGCTTGTCGCATGCTTGACACATTTTTCAAGAATTGATTGATTGATCAACACCAGCAGTGTGTGTTTCTTCATAAGGAAACATTGACTTCAGAGTGATAAGCTGTCGTATGGCATAGGAACACTTTCATTTTGGTGAACTTATTATAACGAGAACTGAGTTGGTTCAAAACGAAAATGGTTATCGTCTAGTAACTCCAAATGTTGTTCCATCGAACCTCAGCATATTTAGGAATCCCCTGTCTCCAGCCCATTGTACTCATCGCAGTTCAGCGACTTGTGGCACTCAGGTTGGGTCATAAAGCGAGTTACAAGCTCACATTACAGCAGGCAAAGTGGTTGGAACACATGACAGGACACATTATGTTCTGAGTGGATATCTTCGATTCTTCTACTTTCTTTCTATCTTATTTTTATAGTAATTCTAGTGGTAACAAAAATAATGGAAAAGATTGTGGTAATAGTAATAATAAAAATAACGACAATGGTGATAATAATAATAACACAGGCAGCCTACAGTGAAAACCTACATAGTCAGAGACACGTCACTGCTCAAGTCGAACACCTGATGTAAACTTTTTCCTGGATGAAGGCAGCATTTCTGTTAATAAGGGAATCTGCACTTTATTCCAAATCAACTTAGTGAATCTATGCCCTTAGGATTTTCTTAGCGTTCTACCACCATTCTCCAAGGCATCAGCGAGAATCGATTCGATCAGCATTCAACAACATTCATAAAGAATGCGAAATGTCTCAAAAGTAATCGAGCCCGCGGGCAAGTTCAAAGACTTCCATGGATTATTGACCTGTTGAAACGAACTCAATGCAAGAAGTACTGGGATCTTCACAGTAGACTTGATGAGGGATCGTGTGAAAAGTTAATTTTGGTGAAGAGCTATACTCAGACTTACCAGAATCTGAACATTTCTCTCCAATTATAATGAACGCGAAATATCGAAACAGATAATAAAATGACAGAAACTCATTTAAGTAAGAGGAATCAAATTCGGGTTCAGCTTGTTCTTTCGCACTGTTGAAAACACAGGAAGGACAAAACTAGTTCCTCAATCAGCAATATATCGTTTTTTGAATAAAATAATAAGCTACCATCACAGTGTACATATAAAAAGTGGAAAGCTTTCGGCGTCGAGTGTCAGTCGTTTGCATGGACGTCATGAATTCGATAGGGACGTAGCTCTAACATGAGATCGAACCAAGGACAATATGTGTGTTGCAGAGCGCCTCTAACCGCTGCGCTATATACATATAATATTGAAGTAAAATTGTTAAAGGGTTTGGAATATCTAGTTGATCATAGTGGAATTGGCTACCTTAGATGTAGTTTCAATTGAACGGTTCTACATAATCTTCATTCTTACCGAACTGCTTTCCTCTGCTTCAGGAGGTAATACATCGAGGTCATCGTCGTCAGAGTCTGTTGGTGTTCGAGTTGAGAAAGACAACCAAGCCCTTGCCTGGAATGCGTTTAGAATTTGATTTGTATAGGAATATTTCAGATATGGAGCCATTTCTGCCTTTGTTCAAAATGTCTCTGTGTAAAATAACACATTTACATTAAATCATACTAAATCATATACTGCTAATAGTGCTAAATTTTAAATATGTATTACCAACATATCGAACGTTTTGGACGACTTCTTATGCTTTGCTTACTAAGACGTAATAACATAAAATAGATACATAAAATGGATAAAATAGGGAAATAATGTAGAGAGATTTGGGCTCCCCAGATCAATCCCGCTGACTGGTGATTGCTGATGGCACTGATCGATAGAAGTAGCTGAGAAACAGGCTAAACGAAGGACCCACAAGATGTGGTGATGAACGCGTTGGCCCCCGGAAAGAGTAATAGCGTGTTCGTTCCCCACCGCAGACACCTGCGGTCCAGAGTTTTGCAAATATCTCAGCTTCATTGAAGTTATATTTCGCAGCATACTCTGCCATTAAAAAGAGTAGGCAGTAAGTAACAAGTTGAAATTGCGGTTATAACTAGAGCCTCAGCTTCACTGGCTTAATTGCCGATTTGGAATCCCCAGATCAATCCCGCTGACGGGTGATTGATGATGGTACTGATCTATAGAACTCTCTGAGAGATAGGCTAAACGAAGGACCCACAAGGCGTGGTGGTGAACGCGTTAGCCCCCGAAAAGGGTAACAGCGCGTTCGTTCGTCACCGTAGACGGTTCGGAGTTTTGCAAATATCTCAGCATCATTGAAGTAACATAAAATAATCCCTTCCTAAAGTCTTGGTAGCTGGTTATCAACTTCACCAAGTTTTTCTTGTGAATGAAGAATAAGGTAGAAACCTCGTTTGTACTTAACAATAACAGCGAATTGTGGTCCACTTTGTCTACATATTCCCACTAGATTTTTTTTAAATACAAGAGATATGTGGCCTTAACTTTCACTCACTTCATATCCTTTTTTCATGGTAGGGTACGAGGCGAACTACAGCCATGAGGACACTAAGATATGAGCAAATCTTAGAACTTTAGTTAGAGTTTGAAGGCGCGATTACACTTACCGGGTTTGGCTCATCATTGAGCATCCCTATGTTTGTATTTATTTGACGTCGTACCCAGTCATGAAAAAAGAACAGGTGTAAAATAGAAGTAACTTAATTTGGATATATGCACCTCTCCTCTCGATGTGTTTTCGTGCGGCTTGTTACTACTAGTGGGGATGGGTTGCTCGTCTACAGCCGGCGCTATCGTCGATTCCATGCCAGTGTCTATCGATGGTGGATGATCAGGAGCGAACTCTGTGGGAGCGTTGTCTTTTCTTGTCAGTATAACATCACTTACGTATTCCACCTAAAATTAATGAGAAATATGGAACGTGTACTCGATTGCCAGTCAATTTCGTTCATCAGTTGTCAGCGATTCAGGTGTTATTGCGAACATACCGACACACGACGATAACAGACGTAGCGGCCGTAATTCTAGAAGGTCGTTGACGTGGTTAGGGGCTTAAAGTACATAAAAGGACTTTTTGCGCCGGTTTTCCTCAGCTATTTCGAGGAAAACATCGTGTAATTTAAGCTTCAGAGTTCTTCTAAATATCATAGAGGTGATGAAGGCACGAAAACGATGAGTGGAATGAACGACCGGAAAGGCTTCCCCTTTGTGAAGAAGTTCTTTGATCACAGTTTGTTCTTGACCAAGAGCGAGCGCTTTCAGAACCCGTGGACGGGTTTTGTTCGAACCATTAACATTGTCATTTCTAATGCGTGGTTTTATTTCATTGCCACTTTCAAAATCGATAGTGTTGAGGTTGTCTTTGTAAAGAAACAAGGGCATTGTAAGAAAAAAGAGAATGCCTAGAACGAATTTTTTGTTGGACGATTTTCCTTCCCCAAGCGTTTTGAAAGGAAAAAAAAGACGAAAACATGGGAGTTGGAAGCGATGGGAAAGCGTCCATTGCGTTGTTTAAAAAAACTGATAAGCAGATTAATTTTCTAGCGAAACTATTAGAGTAAAGTGTTAGTACCGAACAAACGCAGGGTTGCACGAGTACTGTAACTAATTTGAGTTCACGTAGTGAATATCGATTTTCACTGTGAGTCAATCTATATCTATGTTATGCATGTAATCTACACTAAGGGTGTGTTCTTTGATATGTTACTTTATGGAGCTGCTATAATCTGTAATGGTATCCAAAGTTTATTGTCATATACCTTTTTGTACCTCACATCGTACTGGTCAGCGGATTCGCCATTTGTATCGATTGCATTCTCCACAACGGTCCCGCTTTGTTGTGTCACACCTGCTGCAGATTCCTGTGGTACGGGAGCAGGATTGCGAACAGTACTATTTGAGTTCTCATCGATTAGTCGTATTTCAATCCTTTCGATTGGTGCGTCGAGTCTTTCAACTAAAAGAAAACAATCATAACGTTAGTTAAACTGTTGTCATTTCATCATCACATTCATCCCATTCGTCTCATTATTGATTTATCTATATCTTTAATTCAGGTACACAATACAGGCCGATAATGAAGTCTCTTGGATGTCATGTGATAGGAAAATCAATTTTACGTCTGTGCAAAAGTCTGTTATTCATTTTCAAGTATCTTGAGATTAATGGTAAGGCTAGGCTACTCAGATATAAGGGTCATCAGTATGCATGTCCACTACGAATCGCTAAGACCTCGCATCGAGCTGAATTTTATGGAGATAACTGATTTGTTTACCGGTGATCCAATCCTTCAATGTTTCGTGATCCTTAGTAGTTCTTTCAATGTAAACTAGTCAACATTTTCTTCCCACTTTACTATTGCAACACTCGAGTTATTGAAACAGGTATCCTGAGACCCAAAATGAGGTGATCTTCAAAGAAAAATCACCACCTAACTGGATCTGTACCTCACAGCTCTTGGTCATTTCTTCAATAGGTTTGTTTTTCTTCTGATTCAGTACTTAGGCATATGGTGTACTTCCTGGATGAAAGTTCGTAGAGTCATCCATCTGGCAAATGTGCGCGCTCCGTTTCCGGATGTCGTTAAATGAAATATTGAAGAAACGAGGGAGACAACTGCACACATAAAACGCTAGTAACAGGACATTCACATCCATAACTAAACTTTACATTGCTGGTTTTTGAAGTCGTTTTTTAAAGTTGAATATGCTGTCGTTTCATTGAAAACAATTCACGATGTTCCATGTTCGCAGTAAATTTATTCTCTTTGGTAAGGTTGTAATGAAAAACAACGGAGACGTTTTGGCAGGAAACATGAACGAATAGTGGCTTTCTTCATTTCCACCTAGCCTATTTCTCATCTATTCTTTCGAATTATCCACTTTTCGTTCCCATTACGACTTTTCTTCAGCGTAGATTTGGGTGCATAGTCACAGGAAGTATCTTTTTTATTATAGCTATTTCTTACTTTTTTCCACAATAAAACGCCACGTGTCCTATCAAGTAGTTCAATGGGAAGAAGGTAAAGGGAATCATCCTGAAGAAAAGTACTTTTTATTGTTGATGCATGTTTCCTAGAGAAGGGAACAAACTGACAGTATAAGAGAGACGGGTAGAGAGAGAGAGAGAATGAGAGGGAGAGAGAGAGGGAGAGGGAGAGAGGGAGGAGGGAGATAGAGGGAATAGGAAAGGGAGAATGAGAAGGAGAGTAGAATAAGATTGGTACTGTCATGCCCATCGTAGATAATAGGACGTAGAGCGATATCTACGATTGCGTAGTGCACTGGTTAGAAGTTCTCTGACATGTACACTTGGCCTTTGGTTCGACCCACGTCGCGGACTCACCAAATCGTCACCCCTCCGAAGTCGGTAAATTGACCAAACTTGTCTGGGATGATACCAGCACTGATTTGATACAACGGTAAGCCACCGAAAGTTATTATACAGGCCAAATATGTATTCAGTCACCTCTAACCATACTTAATGAAGTCCAATACATGGCGTGTTCTTTCGGGATTGATTGACATGGAGCGCCTCATGCTTTACGTTTTCTCTACCTTACAGATAAATCCTCCTAGTATTTTAACTATTATTTCACAATAATAGTTACCAGTAAAGGTGGCCATTGTGGTCGAGTTCTCGTTGTCTCGTTTTGCTCGAAATGGTGACACTTCATATTGTATCGGAGAACTTCGAATAAAGGCCACAGCCGTCATTAATAGGCACACACGATAACGCATTAGCTACTGAAGAAGAATATCGTTAGGCGGAAGCAATGATATTATTAATGGTAACGATGAGCACATCACAGAAATATGTACGATAGGAAGAAATAATTCTTAACCAATAACCAAAACGTTGGTGATAGCACTAAGAGGTTTACACAACAATGACGAATAAAATAGGTGCTGAATTGAATAGAAAAGCTACATTTTTTATATAAGGTTCACTTTTGTCAGCCCATTTTGGGTTTGCTAGTCCTTTTCGCACTTGTTAAGAAAATGATCCTAACAAGCTTTCGTATGTGAAAATTCCAGAATGAAGAAATTTCAGACAACAACCATCGAACTTGGGCTAATCCCATAATTAACTGAGGAGCATGAATACTATGAACGTTCATTAGGTCGTCCTATCAGTGATGGAATATGAACTAGAAAACGAATTCGAAACAGCGCTATCAAATCGCTATTTGGCTTTTTTAAAGGAAGAGCTTCGTGACGTCTTTTTTGTAACTTGTGTAAAATGAGAGTTAAAAACAATGCTGATATGTAGATTCATGCAGAAGGACCACATTGTACAGTAAAGCTCTAATGAAACTACTAGTAAAGTGTTTGTTTACCAATAGCTGTCACTACAAAATCTCACTTCTATCGGTGCTATTCGATTTAGCGCTATCGAATCAGTATAAGAATAAATAGACTAGGTTGGCTATAAAACTGAATCGAAGTGAATAAGCGCACACTAGAAAAAAGAGCCTATAAAGAATGGCGTGAGTGTTTCAGGATTCTCTTGAACTACTGTTAGTGTTGATTAAAGCCGATAGATGACAAGCGACGATGAAACAGCTGACAACTCAAGGACGGACAGCAAGGAGGTGGAGTAAGGAAGAGAAGAGGAGAAACAGACAGAAGAGCTAGCTAGCTCAGACACAAAAGCTCCACCTCATAATGACGACCAGTGTGTGTCAGGTATGACCTTACGCTTTCAGGCTCATAGATTCATTGCCCTTTTCATTTAGGACACGTACGAGCAACGGAAGCGGACCGGGAGCGAAAGCTGATGGTGGTTACGATAAATATTCAAATGTCACACTACCAGGCGTAATAGTAGCCTAGCTTTTTTACAAGTTTAACCCTTACCAGTAGTGGTGCCTTGTCAAATAAGCATCATCAGCTCTGTACCAAATAGATTAACTAGCGATTCATGTGAAGATATTAAGAGTGGAAAGCGAAAATGGTTGAGTGAATCTCTACGAGCAAATATGTCCCCTCATTATCATCAATCGATATCTGCTTATGAAGAAAAAAGATTGAACACTTCCTTTAATTTTATGAGCAGCACTTTTTCTGTGTTGTCGGAAGGTGAGCGGCTTGAACATCTGTTGCGGTGGAATACTCAGAAGATCAGTGAGCGGATGGATTTTTTCTATGCTTCAAATAGAAAAAATGATTTGAAACAACCGGGATCTGCTGCTCACAAGAGTGAAGTACAAAAAATCGATCATAGAAGTTGAACGAAAATAACAACTAGTTAATTCGTAACGATCATGAAATCCAAACGGAAATGTCTGAAAAAATATTTTGAGGGTTAAAATGAAAAGCAAGGAAACATCTTGAGCGATCGTTCAAATCAATCACGTTAGTTTTTGGTCCTTGTTCTTTTTTCAAGGAAAAGAAAAATCTGAAAACCGGAAACCCTGAAACCCTGAAACCCTAAAACTTTAGGATGAAGTGACATAGTTTCTTATTGTTTGTGGTTACCTTTTGACTTTAAAGTACTTTTTTGAAGTTCAATTTAAATACCGTACTGGTTTAAACGACATTAGAATGGTAAATTCTGATGAACGACACTGATCTTCGAGAAGATTCTCGTCTATTAAGAATGAACTTTTGTGAAGTTTTATCACTTATGAGTGGTTTCTGACGATATTAAGATAGAAGACGAGTGCCAACATTAACAGGTCCATTTTATCTGGGAGAAACAACTTTTCTACAGAGTTTGGTTCCTTAAGAAGTACTATCGCCAAAGCACTTATATTTTTTCTCAGTATTTTGGGCATCTATTAGTAAAACATCAAGGGTTTTCACGAACCCCGGTTTTCATCATCAGTTCTGGCAAAAGTTTTCCTCTCGTCTTTTTATGTTGCTTCTAAGTGTTTTCATTTATTTCTTATATACTCAATTAACGTTGCTACTATCTGTTTTAAAAGTGTGTATAAAAGTATGGGTACTTCGCATATTAGCTATGGATATAATGAATATGGCTAAATCATGAGTTGTCTTTATTCCGATCCATAATGTTCAGTGAGTGTGCTTAAAAAATTCTTTACTTTTGACGAAGTACAATCAAATAATGAAGAAGTCGCCGATAGAGGGACGTCCCACGCTGCAGCTTCACTCGTAGAAGTCTGCCCTGAGCAGCCTGTTTTCGTTGTTCTAAATTTTTATTTTCCATTCTTCAAATGAGACTTATTCTACCAATAATCGTTAAATAACGAAGGTTTGATCCGTCTATCATAAATCTTCCATGGACCGTTATCGCATCGATTCGATGACGACATCATCATCTTTCTGAAAAACGTTAGTGTTATGACACTAGATCTTGCATCTATCTAAGCCATCATTTGAAAACAGTGAACAGTGTGAAAGAATTTAACAAGAGACAGAGAGGGCCGCCACATTCGGGCCTTTCAAAGGTGCCGCCGACCACCAACTGACGGGCGTCGATCTCCGAGCTCACCTGTTGGACTCGACAATACTTCTGTTGACTTGCTATGCGACTGAAAATAAGGACTCACGTCTCACCTATGTTAAGGGATTCTTGTCCCTTATACAGAGCCTGTACGATCATGCTTGAGACATCTGGCATGCACAAGAACGACGTGGATCTTCGAAGTGCAAGACCTTTGAAACCATATACCGAAACCATGAACCATATATCATGGATGAACAGTATGTGCACGGTGGACTGAGTGTGCACTCTTCAAATCAGATCTCTACCCGACGGCCAAATCAGAGATAGTCGTTGATGTCAAGCAGAAGACCACGGTCCTGACTACAGTTACCAGAACAAGGATATGGACTCAGCGCTAAATTAAGCACGTTAGAAATAGGTGCAGAAAATCGAGTTGTCTTTAAAAACGTTCTAAGCACCCGATGACTCATTGCCAACTCAGATATCTGCAGTAAAATATGCGATACCACAATCTTTTAACTTTTATTAACTGTCTCTTCTTACTTCATGGCAGCGTACTATGTGGAATGCTACCAAAAAAATGCTGAAATATGAGAAAAACTCTAAATTTCAGTGGCATTTGGAATCCTGGATTACTCTTTTGGGGGTTACGAGTTTTATGTTATACCAATAAGGGCGCGTGTGGTGCAGTGGTTGAAAGCCTGCTGCAACACAAACGTGGGATCGATACCCATGCCCACACCAATCCTTCCATCCCTTAGGGGTCGGCAAATTGGTATCAGACTTGTCTGGAAAGACAGCAGCATTGGCTCGATACATCGATAGGCTACCGGGAGTCATTTTATAGGCCAGATATGCATTCGATCACCTCTAAACGATGCTTGATAAAGTCGAATTCATGGGGCATCCTTCAAGGGTTGATCAACGCCAAGAGCTTCATCCATTTTTTTTATTTTTACCAATATAGGCACTTTCCCTTTCTATCAGTCACCGTTTTGTTCTAACGGTGCTTTCAGCAGTCACTGGTGGTAGAGCCTCTCGTTTTAAAATGGGCACCTTTCACTAAAAAAAGGGAAAATTATGGCGGTCACTACGACGTAAGTGTGATTTTGCACGTGTACCTCGAAAGAGCTAGAACCAATGAGCAGCTTCCACGCGGGAGGAAACAGTTAAGATGACCGTTTGAATTATTTGAAAATCAAACAGAACTAATGAAGAAGTCATACAAGTGATTTTCTCTTCATTAATGTAAAAAAGATCGGACGGCCACGTTTTAATGGGGTTTTAGCGCACGAGGATTGCAGGTTAACAAAAGACAACACCACACGTGCCACTATAGCCTGCATCTTACTAAAAAAAATACTTGTAATAACGCATTAATGTCATAAGTTCCGTGCAGCCGGTATCTTGATGTTGTAGAAGAAAGCCTGAAATGTTCAATCAACTCTGTGAATGACGGAAGTTGCATGGTCAAAAAAGTACAGTCGTTGTTATGAGTTGCCCTGTAATCATAACGCCTTAAAATATAACCATAATGATGCTGAGATATTCGCAAAACTCCATACGGCTGGAGTCTGCAGTAGGAACTGAACACCTTATTACCCTTTCCGCGGCTAACCCATTCACCATGCGAGTCCTTCGCATTACCTTTCTCTCAGCCGTCTTTTATAACGCATTGAATTCTTCGTAGTTGTTGATAGGTAGACCTGGAATTCTCGTGTCCGATAGCACATATTGTTAGAGGTATCGTGACCTCAACAAAAGGTGTTTGAATTGAACTATTGCTCAAGAGCTAGGTATGGTGCAATATAGGGTTCCGCAATAAAATTCGGAAATGGAAATACCGTATACCTTCTAGAAAATGGTACTTTTCGATGGTTAATTATTGATTCGTCAATATTCTTCTTTCGTTCTTTTGTTGCTAAATGAACCAGTTTTTAGTCGTTGTAGGGAAAAAGTGAATGAATTGGTATCGTGCCAGGCAACAACTGTTGATGCTAGACGAAATTCCGCACATATTTCTGCGCTGAAATTTTTATTACATAAAAACTTTAATGGATCAGTAAGTGCTATTTTTAAACCAAATCATTTTGAAGTAATCAGGTGAAGGCAGCTGGGATAAAAAATCTATCACCTGAAGCTCCCATCCTCCCACTGAGTGCTGAGTGAGTCATTCGAGCACAAAGAGAGTTTCTATTCGCTATTTGCTCCATTCGTTAACCATAATTGTTCAGTGGACTCCTCTTACTCCGGTAATTTCAAGACTCTTTGTTTAAAAACTTCGTGGTATATCGAGATAATTAGTTATACTGACTTGATATCAGCA